TCGCCTCTCGATATGAGTCAAGGAAGACTGTACCGGCAAACCAACAGCGTTGTCAGCAGAGCATAAGCTGTCGCTCTGTAATTACATCGAGTATGTGACAAATAGAGGTTTTCCTTTGACCATGCCCAAAATTTCAATGTTTGCCTGGTGCATTGATTGCAGGTCCAACCGCCCAAGAGACATTTTTGGAGAGAGAGGCCTCGCTACCGACGCTACGCATGGGGGTTGAAGCTTAGTTCCAGAAAGCCTGAGTCGGTCAAACATCGGAAAGCTGAATGCTTAGATTGCGGCCGAGCAATTTTTTCAACATGAAAATTGGATCGATTCTTTAGGATTACTGCGAGATGCTCATGAACGTAATAACGTTAGTGAACGTCCCCATGACATGGTGTTGGTGGACCTCAACAAGTCCTCGCAGAATGTTGTCTTGCCTCGGCGAGTGAAGAATTCCCATTCTTGACACGTGGCATAACAATAACACAGAAGCATCGATTGCTGCGTTTCACCGTACTGCGTTGCAATGGCTCCAATGATCATTTTTAAAGCCGCATTTCCAGGAGGCAACTAATTAAGCTACTGAGGTGTCTCCGACGAAGCTTTGGACGGCAAACAAGCAACTGCCTCTGTGGATTGTGAACTTGTCCTACGGTGGCTCACACTAAAATTTTTGGCATTTGCTCAGCCATTAACAGATGAACCAATAATTCTGCTGCTCGATGGCCACGCCATCGAATCAAGGAATCATTATATGCCCAGTATAGACATAGCATTGCAGAATTTTCACAGCTTGTTGCGGTTTCGAACACTCACCTCAGTGCTCTAATTTTGCCGTGCTTAAATTGCCCGGCCTCCTCGCTGATTTGACCAGCTGTAGCATGGTAGCTGGGATCGAACCCGCACCTCACTGCTGCAGTCACGGTATTCTGAACTGTAATACTGGGCCACCTTACCATTAATTATGTCTTGAATAAGTCGCGTCAAGAAGTGGAAACGAGGGAGAAGTGATATGACTAAAACCGAAATTGAAGATGAATTTCTGTTAATAATGCTACCAATTAATGCGACTTATATTCACAGTACAATGCTCACAGTGCAATGCTGCTTTCTCGCTCAAGGCCGAGCGCACGTCCACAGTGTAAGCTGGTCTATGAGCCCCTTTTAAGACACAAAGAACGCATCGATGAACAGCTAAAAAAGCAAAGATTGCAAGAGGCCTTTAACGCGTGCTAACCAATCCTGCAAGGGGTTGCTCGCGCGAGACCTATAAAAACTACTCATGAGAGAGACCGTTTACGACAGACTCCCTAACTGCTCTTGAAAGAGGTCATCTGTGCGAGACCCATTAACCACTCTTGAAAGAGGCCGTTTAAGCGAGACCCATTAATTACTTTTGAAAGAGGCAATTTGCGCGAGACATTAAACACTCTTACAAGAGACCGTTTCTGCGTGTATTCCTAACCAGTCCTACATAAGCCATCTACGCCAGTCCTAAGTCCTAAACTAACCTCACAGGTGGGAAGAAGACCAAACAAAATTGACACAGTCGTGTACGATACCACGAGCTCTGTAATACGGTGCCTATAGGGACTTGGCTGAGAACACAGGACTTCTGTGTACCTAAGGCCCTCGTAGAAAGGGAACGATATCGAGTTGATGAAGTCGACGGAATACATTAAGGTCGTTCTCTTTATTTCTTGCAAGTCTGCGACATATTTTTGTGGGTATAGTTACTTGCTTTTAATATTATAGTGTCTGACAGCGACTATACAAAAGCATTTCATTGGTCAGTGTCTGACTCTACCAAAACATTTAAACGGTCAAGATCTCCTACTTCCGGGCAATGCGCTCTTTCTGTCGGCCGCGATATTTGCCCCCGAGTTAAAGATGGGGTTAGGAATTACATTTTTAGGTTCAAAGATATTGTTCATGCTACGTACAAAGAAATTCGCCCTCAGGGCGAATTATGTTCGAATTGCTGACCAGTGTGCTACACTAGGTACATGGTATCAGAATAATTTTTCATACGCGATGTTCATCCATAAGGTGCATTTTTACGATAGAGTAGAAGCGAATGAATGGAATGAACACTGAGCAGCCCTCCCAACATCGATGCAGTGAAAAGGACAGCTACCAGTCACGAAATTACATCTTAGTGGAAAATGGAAATCCACTGAAATATGGTAGCTAGAAGAAAGACATATTCCTTTTGGTTTCGTTTAATTTCGACCAAAAGCAATATTTTAATTTTTTTTCCATTAATTTGTTGAAGAAAAACCGAAGTTGGAGGGTTGGTTCCGCGTGCATTTGAGGCTTTCACTACTGTACCTTACGTATGCCCTATTCACAAAAAGACTGCAATAACCTTGCCAGGCTATGGCGACTTTAGTGTACCCTTAGTCAATATCGCTGGTGACTTTAAAGTAGGTACTTGTATACCTCGCCACTCCCGACGAGTCTCGTGAACTTCCATTTTATTATATGATCGAGCAATAAAAAAATTTAGTGACTTTTTTTCTCAAAAGTCTAAACATAGGCCTACCCAGCACATGTGTTACATTTAATTTTTAGCGTCTTGGTGTTTCGAAATTTAATATATTCTAGTGGGTTTTCTGAAAGTGGCGACTTATGTGGCATTGACGGTAGGTACGTTTCATCGTTGCTGACGCGTAGTGAAGTGTTTTGAGAGTCATGTGAAGGCAACAGAACTTACGTAACGCATACGGTTTTTTTTATAGTTTTTCATTTCTCGATGCGTCCTTAATGTGTCGGAATATACCGCGTTTACCCTACCTCTGCCAAGGTCTGTACTCTGTAGCAAAAAAATATTTGCCCTATTAAAAAGTTATGATTACATAAAAGTTGCTCACTGCTGTTGGCTTTAAAACCTGATTGGCTGAATTTGCATAACTCATGCCAAAAGAAATGGCAGCCATTTCTGCATGATGGGTAGGCTAATGAGGTACCATCAAACTGGGTAATAGGCATAGACTAGTGGCAACTGGCAAAGCAGAGAGTTTTTTAGACTCACCCTCAAGTTCATTTTTGAGTCCTATAAGTAGACCAGTAAAGTATCCTGGATACAAGCATTATCATACATAAGAAATTGGTTTAAATCTTGAGTAAATGAGGAAATTAAAAATGAACTGATTCTAAAAAGTCTCTGCTTTGCCACAATAGTAATAGGGATGGGCAGGCGGTGCCTGCAGGGTAAATCGGCACAGTCATCCCTGATCCCACATTTCGTAGAAATGTTGTAGCAGCTAAACTTAACTAATTAAAATATTGCAAAACAAAAAATAGTGGCATAAATTTCAAAAATTTTCCTATCTATATAGCATATAAAGCAAGTTGAAAAGTCATACATTTACTACCTCTAAAAAATCCTCAAAAAAAAGTGTGAAAAGTGCAATTTTGGAAAAGTAGCTAGACCTCTGCTAAGGTTTATAGCAAAAAAAATATTATTATTATTATAATTAATTTATTTAACAAATAAAAAATTATTAAATAAATTACTTACATGTAATTTACTTAATTATTAAAAAATTTTACTTGCATAAAAGTTGCACACAGCCTGTGACACAGGTGTTGGCTTAAAAATTCAATTGATGGAATTTGCCTATCTCATTAAAAAAAATGGTGGCCATTTCCGCAGGACAGGGTAATAAGGGACACCCCCCCCCCACTGGTGTAATATAAAGGACACCCCTAAAAATGCATTTACAGTAGAACCTCAGCATTCAGCAAAAGCTACAGTTAACCAAATAATCAATTAACAACAAAAAATTTTGATAACATTTACCTCGCTCAGTGAAAAAATTTCACTTAATGAAAAATTAATGCATCATTGGCCATCACAAAATTTTGCAAAGAATGTCATTGATAGAATTGTGCACTGGGCAACATTGAATGAAAAATAATTAACCTAAACTATGATTTATTTCTCCAAAAAATATTATGGTTCTCATTAAAATATTTCTTTCTGTTTCAGGTATGTTTTCATGATCTTTTTTTGTTATAGTGAATTCTCTTTACCCAATTAATATGGTGTGAAATTACAAGCCATCATGTAAGCTTTCAGATACAGAAGAAATGCTACATGGCTGCTGATATGAAGCTTGCATTGGACAAGGTCTTTGTAAATGCTCAATGGTATGTCCATGGATATGGTAATAACACATCAAATTATATGCGTTTAAAAAATACTTTTTAAAGACAACACTTCTGAATAATACAGTGTCTTGGATGTTCCACATGTATAATGAATTTCTAATTTTATTTTCAAATATTGAAAAAAAAATTATTTTTCAAAAATTTTTGAGATATCAAAATTTTGTAAATTTTCAAAATTATTTATTCTGTCAATTGATTCATGCATTGTCTCTGACTTCTAGCAATTGTGCAAAATTTCAGATCAATTGGACAGGTCAAATTGTCTCGTACCTATATGAATTACCATATAAGATTTGTGGAAGATGAAATTATTTTTAAAATTTTTTTAATAATGAAAAAAAAAATTTTTCAATTGATAAAATTATTTATTCTGTCAATTGATTCATGCATTGTCTCCAACTTTATGCAAGTGTGCCAAATTTCAGATCGATTGGAAAGGTAGAAGTGTGTTAAATGTTGATTATAAGATTTGTAGCAGACAGACAGACAGACAAACAAGAAGTGAAGATAAAGAGAAGTGTTGTAAAATATGGTAATGTGTGAATATGGTAATACAGGGTGCGGCGCGGGAACTTACTTATTTGAATTGCGCGCCACGTGGCGGCCATTAGTCCTAGGAAGGTGGCGCCATGCGCAATATGGTGCGCGGGCTATGAAGTTTTTCGTCCACTCAGTTCAGTTGCGACCATGCAGTGGTCGAGAGAGGAGCGCGCGTTAAAATGTAGCTCTTTGTAAAAAAGAAAGAATTAAAACGCTATCTTTAATACTTTTTACTTTGTGATTTTTTTAAAAGAGTAAGTTCCCACGCCGCACCCTGTATCATATCAATAAAGGAAAGACATGCAAAAACCCCAGAAAATGTCATTCTATATATACATCATGTACAAAGGAAGAGGAGGACATCAGAGTACTGTTAGTAACAGATAAGTACACTTTGCATGCTTCATACTTTAATGCTCCTTTCCAAGTGATTTCTATCATTCTTTATTCTATTTTGATAAAAAATAATATAGTATAGTTTTTAGATGTTCAACATTGCTATTTCTTTTCTAATTAAAACAATATCAATCACATCAGCTGAAAGTTGGTATGGCCTAAGTCCATTAGGTCACACTTCATTAGTGAAATTCACAAACTCGAAAACCCTGCTGACTCTTCTGACCCTCTTGACTCTTCTGGTAAACAAACTCTTGATCTTCCTGTAGTCTTTTGGTTAAAAGGATCTGCATATCTGACCATATGCCCACAGAGCATTGGGCGTATACCAGAAATGAAGACAACAGGAGGGTTAAATAATAGGTACTTGTTAAGTTTTTTATTGCTTTCAGGAACCATTAAATGTCCTTACAAAAAAGTAAGCAGTTCATTTACATTGAAACTAGATTTATATTTTTCTAATTTTCTGTTATAATCTTTTTTTTTATTCTTTGCAGGTTAATTTTTGCACAACTTAGTTCCTAATAGTAATAAGCCATGTTAATCATGAGTAGGTCAAGTAGCATCCAATGTTCATTAAAGTCATTGCAATGTCTTCTAAAACATTCAAATATTAATCAAACTTCTTCAAAGTGCATTTCTCAATCCTCTTATCACTTTCAAAAAGCTGACAAACCTGATGATTCAAATCATAAGCCTGGTTCTAAAGATGACATCCTCTCTGATTATGTTAATAGAAATCCTAGGAACCTTGAGATGCTGCGAATAGCTCGCCAGCCTCAAGGTTATGACTTGGATGTGAAGCAACTTTACTACTGGAACAGGCAAGTAGCAAAAAAGCTTGCAAAATTAAATTCTTATTTTTCTTTCATTGCAATAGGCATTATTGATAATTTTTTCAATCAAAACAATAAATGGATGTCACTAGCAAAATCTGTCAATTCTGACACAGTTTAGTGTACTAATTGTCTTTAAAGCATTTAGTCCCTGCATTTTTCGTATGATTGTTGTTAAAAATTTCTCACAACTTTTTTACCCGTACAAGTTTTCCATAAATATTACCTCAAATTGTGAAACCTGATGTCTTCAATACCTATCCTACTGATAGAACTCTAGTTGACAGATTGTCAGGTGTGTATATATATATAGCTTTCTTGATGGTGAATGTTTCCGCTGACAAAACTTTGAATGATTCATTTATTCTCCTTGTGATCAGATTAGAGTTGCAACAGGTGGGCCGATTCCTGATAGGCCGTGTGCGGCATGAGAGTGGCCGGGTCATTCTGCAGGCCTCGACACGTGAGTGGCCCATGCAGAGCAGACTGCCCAGCACGCAGGACTACACAGCCGCTGTTACCTTGGCTCGAGTGCTGGCTAGGAGGTGAAAATTTCCACTTGCATTTTTGCATTTCTCAAGTTCTCTGTAGGATTCCTATCATTCTAAAATTATTTCTACAATTCTTGTCGTTCTCAAGTTCTCTGTAGGATTCCTATCATTCTAAAATTATTTCTACAATTCTTGTCGTTCTCAAGTTCTCTCTAGGATTCCTATCACTCTAAAATTATTTCTATAATTCTTGCCGTTCTCAAGTTCTCTCTAGGATTCCTACCATTCTAAAATTATTTCTACAATTCTTGACGCTCTAAAGTTTTCTCTAGGATTCATATTTCTCTGAAGTTCTCTCTAGGATTCTTACCTTTCTGAAATTTTAATACGATTCTTACTTCTTTAAACATCTTTCTATGGTTCTTGCCTCTTTAAAATTCTCTCTAGAATTCTAGCCTCTCGGTTCCTTACATTTCTAGAGTTTTGTCAGGATTCTTTAAGTTTCGATGTTCTTTCTACAATTTCTTGTGCAATAGAAACTGAAAAAAATTTTAGGTATGCCAAATAAAAAATGGATACAATTTCTGCCTAGAGGACATGAAATACATTAATAATAAATTTGATATTTTGAAGCTAAAATTTATTTAAGTGCCAATAATTTTAAATATCTTGCCTTCTTTCCTCCAGTGCACCTGATACCTTTTCATTGTTGAGATTCTCTCATCTGTATAAATATGTGACCAAGTTCTTCCAGTTTTTTATTACCTTATTTATACAAATATCTGGCTGCATTTAGACCTTTTCTAGTGTTGCTGTGGAATTAAAATGATTATTGTAACTATTTATTTCTGATTTACCTACAATCTTGCATTACACCATCAGGTGCCTGGAAGCAGGTTACTCAGAGATGGCAGTGGACGCCTCCCTTGAGGTCGAATCATCAACGAAGGTGCGTGAAAAATAACAAGAGGCTTCTTTGTACTAGATCTTTTCATGTTATTATGTATATACTCATTCAGTACGGAAAAGTAAATGCTTATTTCAATTAAGACTTAATTAAGTTTATGCTCATAATAAAGCTTCTTCTTACGATAATCGCACCACTGGCCACGCACCCCACACCCACCCCCTCCGAAAATGGAACTCAAGTAAAGAATTTCTTCACTTTAAAATAAATTTAATTGTGATGTTGAGCTAAAGGACCTACGTTTATTTTTCTACTAGTGGGAATTTCTCCACTTGGTTATGGTATCATTCTCATGCTTCCATGGAAGCTGACGAGACAAACTGTCGTAATACAAATTGTAGCAACTGTAAGGTTATTCCTTCCTTGATTGCAAATGAATAGAAGTGATCTGCCAAACTGAAATTCTTGCGAGCAGGCGGCCGCCTTTGTCAAGACTATCGAGGAGTGTGGAGTGAGACTCAGCGAGGACTTCCAGCTCCACGAGACGGACATGTACCCGTGGGCGCTGGAGCGCCCGACGCTGCCATGGGACGTTCCTGAACACATCGCGGACCAGCAGCAATGACGGTCCAGGGCCGGAGGAACGGTCAGCATGACGGTCCAGGGCCGGAGGAACGGTCAGCATGACGGTCCAGGGCTAGAGGAACGGTCAGCATGGCATAATTGAGGTTACAGCAATGTCAGTTCATGTCTCAAAGAAGTGGCACATCTTCATGATGAATTAGGAAGTCAGAGGCGCGTAAGAAGTAAAAATTAACGGTACAAATGATTTTTGCTGACAATTTTTCATCAAAATTATTCGGCCTTCATTGTACTTTCATGTTGGAATGCCGTTATGAATTAGGAACTCAGTGGCTTGTAAGAAGTAAAGATTATCAGTACAAACGATTTTTGCTGACAATTTTTCATCCGAAATTATTTGGCATTCAGTATACTTTCATGTTGGAATGTCGTTGAGCCATCGTAAATGATATAATAAAAAAAGCTGTACATGTAGACTATTTTAATTTAAAAACAATTTCCCTTTCAACAATAAGTTTCGGCTATAAAATTACAATAAGTTTTTTGCATGCAAAAATATCAGAAGCAAGCAAATAATTACGTCACATAGGACACAAATTTACTGCAATTAGACGGGAATTTCAAAGAATGTAACTGCAGTTACTCATAACATTTTACAAGCTGCGGCAACCCAGCATAATCAATTCTTGACCCTGAAAATTCCCAACAAGTTTTCATTCCCGAGGTGTTCATATCATAGTTAAATTGCCACCTGAAACAAAATTTATGAACCAAATTAAAGAAGATAGTGATCACACTGCCAATTCGTCCCGGAAACCATGTAATTATGACAACAAAAAATGACAATTATGACCACTGGAAAAATTATGAACATGCCCTATTATAATTTATTAAAGCAGTCAGGTAGGCAAGAAAGAGAGCAATAACAAGAAACATTCATTGCAACACACTGAGTTGAGGCTCTTGCATCATCAACAACTGCACAGTGACTGCGTACTCTACACGTAATATTTGCTTTTTTTCCATCATTGGCATCGTACGTCACATTAGAGTCATGAATAAAGCCCAACCAAGGTCAGCAGCCGTAATCTCAAATCACGCTAAAAATACACGTTACAGCAGATTTCTCTCCTGCGATTTGTGGGTTTAGCTTTAAAAGCCGACAGTGATTGGCTGCTGAAGTAGATCTTTAAACTATTTTCATAGTACGGCCCTAGTTTGTAAATTCAAGGTTAGTACCGAAAGATTCTAAGCATCAGCGGCGAGGTCCGCCTTTGATTCTCGTGAACTGAAGTTTAGTGCCAGTGGGAGGCGGAGGAACGTTGGTCAATTGAGGCTCAGCGGTTGGGTCCACCCCAGGCTTCTCAGGCACCACTGATCCGTCAACGACTGGACGACCTCCTAGTACACGGGGCGCGCCAGAGCTGCTCGCTTGAGGACCTGTCACGGTAGGGGGCAGCACCGCGGCTCTGGAAGAACTGCCGACGGAGGAGAACAAAGGAATAGGAGCGGCCGGGGCCGCTGGAGTGAAGGTAGGGGACGTCGGTGCGGAAGGAATGAACGCAGGAGGAGCAGAAACGGACGGTGGCGCAGCCTGTGAGTCTTTGGCGTCGCAGTTGATGCCCATTGACCCGTAGATTTCTTTCAACATCAAGAGGAGTGTGTCCTCCGATTTCCTGAAGAAATTTTAAAATTTAACTAAATGGACATTCTTCCATCATTTACATTGGGGTTCATCCTATCAGGACACGCTATTGAATCGCATTCTGCAGCCTTCAAGAAAATTTTTATTATTTATTCCTGAAAATCAGAAAACACTGCATTTACTTCCGCATGATTACACTGCATGACTTGTTAGCCAATATCTCAAGCCAATACCCAGGGAAGAAGAAAATAAATTTGAAATACAAGCAAGATATTAAACACGTTGAAATACAATAATAATATTATCTAAAAATCAACGTTTACTTATCCTAACTTATATAAAACTTTCTTGGGAGATAAGACTTCAACATCTTGCTCTCAATTCTGGTTGGATTGCCATTTTTTTCAAGTAAGATCATAATAAACTTAGTATGCATAACAATATATATTAATTACTATCAGAAGCATTGATACACTATTATATAGATTGAAAAGGTGTGCCACTCAAAGTGTATATGAGCACCCACTAGTACGGGGGAATTGGAAAATTAATTACTAACAGAAGGAAAATTACTAACAGGAAGAAAATTCATTACTAATAGAAGCATTGATACACTATCTATTATATGGATTGAAAAGGAGGTGCCGCTCAAAGTGTATGTGAGCACCCACCAGTACGAAAGGTGCGCCTGTAGTGCGAATATGTACTCGGTGAAGCTCTCGTAGGGCTTCTCCTGCAGAACGTAGTCGATGCGACGTCCTGCGTTCAGCTGACCCACCATCACCGGCTGCTCTTCTCCCTCGTCCATTCCAAGTCGTCCCAGCTGCTCCTGTTCAGCCTGAACAACACACGGCAATGACGGCATTTAATTCTTAGTCTACGGGTAAAGTAACCTGTTACTGCTATTCGTATATAAAAGTTTGGTAGCTAGATTAAACGTTATTGCCAAAGGGGTAAAGTTTTATTTTAGAACTCAAACTAAACTGTAAACACCAAGAAGGTATAGAACTGTCATTCTCAATACACGATGACCTGGAGCCATACTTTCAAAACTTGCTAAGTGAACGTAGGTACTTACGCTCTATTTTCTTGTCTATGATTGGTGGATTTTGCTTGAAAGGCCGTAAATGATTGGCTGATGAACTTACGGTCTCTTAATTTTTTTAAAGTATGGTCCCAGCATATGCTCGATTACTGAACAAGACAGCTGGAGGATGGTAAGCCAATGAACGAATAGGCAGATCCGACGAAGACAAACCGCCTCGTCCACCTGGTTATGGGTCCTGAGTTACTGTATGGGTTTCTGGCGAACATCCGGTACAAACGGCAACATGTGCACGTTATTTACCCTCTCTAAAAGTCAGAAACCTCGGTTCTCGTTGATCTTTTCTTCTTCCTGCCCGCAACCTTTTCCCAACCAATGTCTCCAGGGGCTTCATTTATTTCTGCCTCTTTCTTCTTCATTTTTTCCACACTTTTCCGAAAATTCCTCCACGTCTGTTGTTGTTGGACTCAAGCGCCATAAAGGCGAAAAAACACACACGGCTACACTATTGCCAGTCTAATACAAGGTCTCGATAATGTGTTACAGAGGTAGCTTCAAGTGCCAATTAGATTATTCAACACAGTTAATCAATACCAGCAGTAAGAGGCTTCACCTGTTCCATGTGCTGCTCCGTGGAGCTGCCGGAGTAGAGCGTGTAGAGTTTGTTCCACGTGGCGGCCAGGGAGTCGACGATCTTGTGCTTGAGGTCGCTGCCCACGCGCTCCAGAGTGTCCTTCAACTCTGCTCGAGACAATTGAGTCGTTTATGCCCCGACATATAAGGACCGTCAAACATGAGACTTTAGCAAGCATTGCTGTGACTTGCTTACAGAATTAAGGTTGCCGAGGTCAACATTGTAGCGAATTTGCCAGAATTGAGGTGACGTAGGCCAGTGTCGGCGTGATTTTTCTAACCGAGACGACTTCGACTAACAGGGAAGTGACCTCGCATAATAACCTCAAGAAAACCATATGGAAGCTTTTGGCCAACGTAAATCACATAAGATAATACTTCATTAGTACACACGCTAAGCAGTTCAATCAAATACTGCAATGTCCTCGGAGCCAATAGCATACAAAACTCCTCACAACCCCTCAACAAGACGCCTCCTCACAACACCTCACCGAGATGCATCCTCTTCCTGCCCTTATGGTGCGGCACCAGCACAGGTCGCAGGCTGGTCAGGTCGGGGTGTATGAGCGTCTCGAGTCTGTAGGCCACGGGGTCGTAGGGGTGGAATATGTTGAAGACGTGCGGGCAGGTCGGCAGGCTGTACTGGGGACTGAGCTGCGTCAGGCCTCGCACCGTCAGGAACATGGCTAATCAACAATTTATTTCTTAATATTATATTATTACTTGAAAATTCATTCATTCAAGATTTTTCGAATAGGTTTTATGATTTTTTATTGGTATTAGATATAAGCATTCGAGTTGAGAGAAAAGTAGCTAAGGAAAATGGCACAGGAATTATTTGCCTTCAGTATAAAGGTAAATAATTAGCTTCAGGCCCCTGGTGCTGAAGTAACTGCTTAGCTTTACCCCCCTGAGGGCTGGTGAGCAGCAATTAGGCACCTACCAATGGGAGAGCCGAGAAGGAATGCGGCCTGGGGGCTGAAGAGGAGTTGCGGGTAGGCGATGGAAGGCTGGCCGGTGCCCGCGGGGCCGAGCTCGTAGTGGACGGAGCGACGCGAGTCTTGCTCGGCGCTCTGCGCTCTCTGGAAAAAGATAATAAACGTAAATATTCCGATGGCCATTCGGTAATGAATCGTAAATAGTCCGCTGGCCAATCGGTAATAATCGTAAATCGTTACCTGTGTAATCGGTAATAGCCGCAAAGAACGGACAATGGGCACACCATGTGTCAATGTTAATTTTAAAATGGGCCCTAGACCAAATTTAATAAAACCGAACATTGATGGCGGCACAACTTGATCAACAATATAAAACCACTTGATTTATAAATCTATAATAAAAATAATTATCAGGTGCACTGACGCCTAACACGTATTGACTCAAGGCACCTTAGCTCGGATATCTGAAGCAGTGAGGACTCTGCCGACGCCTTTCTTCTGCAGCAGCTCCACCCCTCCATCAGCAGGCAGGTCCTGCAGATCCTGGTCTTCCTGCAGCTGCTGGTCGCCCTTCTGGTGCATGAGCAGGTCGAAGAGGATGACAGAGCCCAGCGAGTGGCCGGCGACGCTCGTACCACCACAGAACTTAGGGTTGCGGTCGCGGAACAGCTGATACATCCTGTTGATCTCCCCCGCCACCGTGTCGATGATCAGCTGCTCGTTATACGCATATTTAATTCAATAGTTACTCAGTTCAACGGGAAAGTACAATGTTACAATCAAGATTGTATATTTAATTCAACTGAATAGTTACTCAGTTCAACGGGCAAGTACATACAATGTTGCAATCAAGATTGTATATTTAATTCAACTGAATAGTTACTCAGTTCAACGGGCAAGTACAATGTTGCAATCAATATTGTATATTTAATTCAACTGAATAGTTACTCAGTTCAACGGGCAAGTACAATGTTGCAATCAAGATTGTATATTTAATTCAAGTGAATAGTTACTCAGTTCAACGGGCAAGTACCTACAATGTTACAATCAACGTTGTTATCTTCGAGTCGTATCTCTAATGTGGTTAGATCTTTGAGTCATAACCTTGATTAGGCTAGATCTTTAAATTTGTTGAAATTTTCTAGTCGTAACTAGAAGAAGACTAGATGTAAGCGAATTCGATTGGATGGCAGATAATTGGTTTCGTTGCATATGCATTTGTTCTCATCCAAATGCCAGTGCCAGCTATCCATATAAACTTTGCATCCGTGTAATTCAAATTTTTGCTTGAAGCGTCTGTTGTTCAGCTACGCTGTTTATTTGTTTATTTTCTCCCAATCAATAAAATCATTCAGTTATTGATAATGCAAGTAAATATGCCTAAAATCACTGCACGAGCAAGAAAATTTGTCCTTTCTTGTTCACCTGCCATATTAATTTTTATAGTCTGTCATCTCGTGCGAAATCATGACGAAATAAAGGTTGCATGATTACTAGGCGAGTTAAATACACTTCAAATTTCAGCAAATATATATTCCTCTTCTGTGAACGCAGACCAAATGTCCAGTTTTCAGCATACCCCTATAGGGAAATTTAATCCTTTGGAGGAGCACATAGCAGCAAATGATACTTCGTTACTGTGGTAACACTGATCAACTAGCACTCAAAAAAGCCAAGTGTTCACTGTTATCCACAAAAACCTTAAGATTACACCTTACATTATTTAGATTACACCTTACATTATTAAGGTTAAACCGTAAATTAAGCGATTAAACTGTACAGAGTCTAAGTTAAACGTTTTGAAGCTAATCATTGTTGTTTATACTTTCATCCAGGCGGAACAGGAGCTATCGGGCTCAATAATGTCGTGCTCTACAGCGTCGAGTCTCTGCCGTCCACAGCTAAGTCCCCTTACTACACAGTCAAGTTCCCTTCCTACAGTCAAGTCCCCTTCCTACAGTCAATACCCCTTCCTACAGTCAAGTCCCCTTCCTACAGTCAAGACCCCTTCNTCTAGGGGCACTTATTACGTGTCCACTGCAACCAAAGCTCTCATGTTATGGGGCTCTAGGGGCACTTATTACGTGTCCACTGCAACCAAAGCTCTCATGTTATGGGGCTCTAGGGGCACTTATTACGTGTCCACTGCAACCAAAGCTCTCATGTTATGGGGCTCTAGGGGCACTTATTACGTGTCCACTGCAACCAAAGCTCTCATGTTATGGGGCTCTAGGGGCACTTATTACGTGTCCACTGCAACCAAAGCTCTCATGTTATGGGGCTCTAGGGGCACTTATTACGTGTCCACTGCAACCAAAGCTCTCATGTTATGGGGCTCTAGGGGCACTTATTACGTGTCCACTGCAACCAAAGCTCTCATGTTATGGGGCTCTAGGGGCACTTATTACGTGTCCACTGCAACCAAAGCTCTCATGTTATGGGGCTCTAGGGGCACTTATTACGTGTCCACTGCAACCAAAGCTCTCATGTTATGGGGCTCTAGGGGCACTTATTACGTGTCCACTGCAACCAAAGCTCTCATGTTATGGGGCTCTAGGGGCACTTATTACGTGTCCACTGCAACCAAAGCTCTCATGTTATGGGGCTCTAGGGGCACTTATTACGTGTCCACTGCAACCAAAGCTCTCATGTTATGGGGCTCTAGGGGCACTTATTACGTGTCCACTGCAACCAAAGCTCTCATGTTATGGGGCTCTAGGGGCACTTATTACGTGTCCACTGCAACCAAAGCTCTCATGTTATGGGGCTCTAGGGGCACTTATTACGTGTCCACTGCAACCAAAGCTCTCATGTTATGGGGCTCTAGGGGCACTTATTACGTGTCCACTGCAACCAAAGCTCTCATGTTATGGGGCTCTAGGGGCACTTATTACGTGTCCACTGCAACCAAAGCTCTCATGTTATGGGGCTCTAGGGGCACTTATTACGTGTCCACTGCAACCAAAGCTCTCATGTTATGGGGCTCTAGGGGCACTTATTACGTGTCCACTGCAACCAAAGCTCTCATGTTATGGGGCTCTAGGGGCACTTATTACGTGTCCACTGCAACCAAAGCTCTCATGTTATGGGGCTCTAGGGGCACTTATTACGTGTCCACTGCAACCAAAGCTCTCATGTTATGGGGCTCTAGGGGCACTTATTACGTGTCCACTGCAACCAAAGCTCTCATGTTATGGGGCTCTAGGGGCACTTATTACGTGTCCACTGCAACCAAAGCTCTCATGTTATGGGGCTCTAGGGGCACTTATTACGTGTCCACTGCAACCAAAGCTCTCATGTTATGGGGCTCTAGGGGCACTTATTACGTGTCCACTGCAACCAAAGCTCTCATGTTATGGGGCTCTAGGGGCACTTATTACGTGTCCACTGCAACCAAAGCTCTCATGTTATGGGGCTCTAGGGGCACTTATTACGTGCCCACTGCAAGCAAAGCTCTCATGTTATGGGGCTCTAGGAGCACTTATTGTAGGACTATTTAATGGAGGGTGCGATGCTTTAACCATATTGTTGAAAGCGCAAGATGAAGGACTTTGTTGCACTGGGTAAATTGTTACCGATTCTAAGGCAAATGCTTAAATGCTTCAGTCGTAGTGTGGGTGTCTGCTGAGCTGTCATTGATTTAGTATAATGCAATGTTAAGGTTTCTTAACTTTTGGGAATGTCTCACATAGAATATGAGTTGTTCCACGTCCCATGCAACTCTATCGCCTCGATAAGAATACTGTAAAAAAACATCCTACCTTTCTTCCACCATTATCCACCTCACTTTACTCATCAGTGGGGCATGCAACACTTCGCGAAACGCGGCGCTCGGCTAATTAAGAAGTCGGAGTCTTCTTTTCCATAGACAAATATTCCAAAACCCAAGTTACGGTTATTCCAAAACGCAGACTTGGAAACGAGACACATCGTAAGTCAACTACACAGCCACACCACATTCTTCATCCCTCACCACACTCCCTCAACCCTCACCACACTCCTCCCATCCCTCACCACCCTCCCCCCCACCCTCACCACACTCCTCCCATCCCTCACCACCCTCCCCCC